GACCTTGCTTAAGCGTGGATCAACCCCTACCACAGACATCAAATTTTGTATACAAATAAATATAATATTTATTTCCATTTTACAGAGCAGCTGCACGCTACCGATTACATATTAGTTTAATCAATGATTTCATCATTTCAGGTTTAACTCTCAAGAATACAATTGTGTTAAAATTCAATAAAGAAAAAATTATTTCTCTTGATGGTCTTATTTCGCTCGAACATGGTCAAATCCTAAAAAAATCCCTCACGTATTCTTTCTTTCTTTTTACAGTTATTGTTAATTTACACAAGTTGATAAAAATTAGGAATGATACAATTTAATGGTTATGTATAATTTTTTTTTTATTTTTTTTATATACAAGTAGTTAAATTAATATCGATTAAGTCTAGGAATTAATATTGAAAATTAGAGTAATACTATATTTTTTTTTATAAATATTCCGAATAGTTTATAAGAAAATATTAAAGAAAATAATATATTTATTATTTATCATAAAATCTTAAAATTTTTCAATAATTTTTTTTATCTAGTAAATAGAAAAATTAATAAAATATAAGATTAAATAAATTTTTAAGAATCTGATCTTTTAGTTTTTTTTTTCTTTCAATTTGTAGTCCTTTATTAATTTTTTATTGCATAAATTAGTCCTTTGAATTAAATTTTCTTTACTAATTGATAATGTATATTACTAAATAATCACTAACTTGATTATTAATATTCATGTGGTTATCTAGTAGATGAAAAATTATATGAAGTAACATTTTTATTATTCGCTCATGGTTAAATATTATTTTTCTGAAATAAAAGACTTATTAAAATAAATCTTCACCTATATAACCATGAATGGACAATAAAATTACATTTTTCATATGATTTAACATCTATATTAAATAGTCATGTTGACAGAATCATAATTTTTTAACATATATCATCACTTGATAAATAAGACTAAAATCTAAGAATTAATTTATGTGACAAAAAATTTAATAAAGGACTAAAAATTGATTAAAAAAAATATAAAAAGAATTAAAATTAAATTCATAAAAAATGAGAGAATAAAAATTTATTTAACCCTATATTATATAAAATAATTTAAAACTATTAACCATAATTTTCTCAAAAACAAACATGAACATAATTATCTAAATTTCCTGCTCAAACTTTATTCGGTATTACATATTTGACTCCTCTAAATTTAGAGAATTATATTTTAAAAAATAAAGTGCAATTGAAATTATTAATAAAAATTAATGATTGAAACTATAATTAATTTTAGATTTTATTTTATAAGAATTTAATTTTATTATAATTGTCAATTGTTCAATTTTTAATCAACAACTTTGAGTGTCTTTTGGATTTTAAATTACACCCTTCACTTTAAAAGAGACAAATCTTATTTTCACATACACAAATTTTATGGAGAAACACTTATAACATACCTGTTAATTTATAGATTTTTAACATATTTTTATTATTAATTTAAATATAATTTTAGTTCCTATAATGTACTGTTTTTGTTATCCTTAAAAAAATTGTTATATTTAAATGGTTCATGTAAAGTTTTGTTTTTTATTTTTATTCCTTATAACATGTGAATAATTTAATTTTTGCTTCTATAATTTTTTTTAAAAGGACTAACTCAAAAATAAACAAATGTTATAAAGACTAAAATAAAATAACAAAGACTAAAATATTTTTAAATTTTTTTTTTACAAGGACTATTTAAAAAAAAGTTTCACAAGGCCTAAAACGAAAGAAAAAAGGTGTATTATTACAAAATTCAAAAGTATATTTAAACAATTTATTATTCACAAAAATTTATTACAAATTATAAAATTTTATGAAACATATGCACTTCTTATTATTTTTTTAGTAAATGATCAAATTAGTCTTTAAAATTATAGGTTACTCTTAAATTATTCCCTGATTTTAATGAAACTCAAAAAAAGTCCAAAAAAATATAATTCATCAATCATTTAAATGCTTCCTTTAAATAAATTTTGTTTATTTAAACAAAAATATTTATGTGGCATGATAGTGTTGCATGACACATACATGGTATATATATAAAGTGACATGTGTTACATGAATATTCCATGTGACGTATATATATCACGTAACATATGACTATAATATAATATTATTTTAATATTTGAAACTATATTACATTATTTTAGTCTTTTAAATTATAATTTAATATCACTTTAATCCTTAAAATTTTAACTTGATGTCATTTTAGTCCCCATATATTATCATAATTTTATTTTAATCAAATATATAATTACGACTTGAATATTTTCACAATAAATAGATAATTATATTAATATTGTAAATAGGATAATAATTATATTCAAATTGTATTAAGAATAAAAATTTAAAATGAGAATAAATATTATGTACTACTTTTATAATATGATGTTAAATATATTAATCTAATAATCTTTCTTAAAATATTATTAATTTAATTATTTATTTTATTCTATAATTATTTAAATTAAAACTACAATACTATAAACACTATAAGTTTTAAGAAATAAAAATAAATAAACGTTTTCATAATATAGAAATGATTGATAAGTGAATTATTTATGAAAATAATATATATATATA